AAAGGCTTCAAACAAACAAAGAAACACTCGTCCACATAAACAACCAAGAAGATAAAGAAGGGGAATGAAACGAATTCCCCGTACCAAAGCAATCGATTAACCAATGAAATCGGTTTGGGTGCGGTGGTAGGTAGGTAAGTACTAAAGTACTGGACCGGTCCAGATCTCCCCCCCATATGCATACCCGATCTAAACCAAGAGACGAGTATCCATCCTATAGACGTAGAGATGAGATGTTGTCCTCTATACCATCACCATCACCATCACCATCACCATCACCTAATCGAAGCCCAACCACGATCCCCGGTAGACGAACGTCAGCTATTTCCATATTCCACGTCACACAAAGCCCCGTATAAAACCCACACCTCCCGCAGTAGCGCATCGCATCAGATCTATAACGTTACCGCTTCCAAATCCCTCATCACAACCGACATCTGGGCGCGTTTGGCCGCCTCGGCGACAAGGCTGAAGTCCCGTAAGAATGGCGCCGTAGCGGTCGGGCCTCCCGATCCGGACACTTGGTGCGGATAGCTTTCCAGCGCGTTCTGCTGTTGGCCGTTGGTCTCCGACAATTGGGAGAGCTGCTGTTGGGAATATTCGGTGGGCTGCGTGTGGGGATGGTGCGATGTTGATCGCTCGTGTATGCTGGCTGCGGAAGTTGGGATTGGTTGCTTGGACGCGAGGCTGAGCGGGTTGTGAGGCTGAGGTGAGGTGGTGAGGAGCGGTTGTTGCGTTGTGCTCATGTTGTTATTGGCGTGGGTGTTGTTGTTGCCTGCGATTTGTGCTCTAGAGTCCATTGTGGATGTGGATGTATGTGTATATGGTGGCTAGTCGTTGCGTTGGAGGCGGTTAAGTGGGATGGCTCGGTTGTTAAGTTCTATACGGGGATGTAGATATTTTTCTAAGAAGTATCGGTGAAGATATCGAATTTTCCGCGCGGGATAAAAACAAGGTGAAGATTTTCCTGATGTGGGCTGATCCGGTGGGGGGTCAGATTTGATCCAAGTGGGCGGGCTTGATAGATGGTGGTGATGGTATTGGTAGTTCGAGAGAGTAAATGGCGTGATGGAGAAAAGAAAATAGATAAAAAGGGAAAAGAGGAAGGGAAATTTTTTTTTTTAGATGAGGGTCTAAAAAAGAAAAAAAAAAAAAGTCGGCTTCAGTCTGTAACAACACGTGGGGCTCTTTTATCTTTATATTTTTTTTTGCTTTTCTTCCTTCCTCCAGATTATGACGTTGCATGAACAGGATATTGATAAGATGATCTGGGAGTGGTGACGCCGATAGATAAAGTCTTTCGCAATGAGAACCAGATTAAGCAGTAGCCTGTCTCTTACTTAAACCCGACGATCGGTACTTTTGAAAGGAGCAATCAAAACCAGGGGGGACAAACAAAGATTAGGTCTGAGGAACTGATTGTCGATGATCGACAAACCTGGGCTTCATTTGTGATCGTCTGCCTTGATATGTACATCATCGTTGGTACCTCTGGGGGGTAGGGTAGTAGCTATAATATAGTAGGTAGTATTCTATAGGTAAAACGCATCACTATACTCCTCAACGTCCAATTGACGGATAATTTTAATTTGCGCATGCCGACAATTACCCGGTCCGTATCAGGTCCGTATCTCCGCCAACCCCATGCGGGGATTGGCTGTGAAATGCCTGAGAATGCAGGTACCGTATTGTATCGAATGATACTAGCCGGAGAAGCCTCGGCATCAGCCGCAACCCCTCCACGTGATCTCATGTGACTGCCTTGGAATGGATCACCAGCACTAATCCTCTTCCGGCAATCCCCCACTACTCCCCACTATTGTGTGCGATAGAGAATTCAGCATATGATTGTCGATCGCAGATGAAGAATTCTGGTTCGAATGACAATTCTGCACCACCTGATCCCCCGTGAATAGGGGGGCGACGACGATCCAAATGGCGGACGCAGATGACTTCGAAACGGGGGACCTCTTCAAGGACCCCGAGGGCTTCTACGAGCCTGAAAAGGAGCCCACCTTCGCCGAGCACCACATGCTCTCCGGCCAAACGGTGCGCGTGCGCTTAGTTGGAGACCATCCTCTTTATGTACGGCTGCCCCCATTCTATCTGTCACAGGCCACCCACTGACACTTCGCAAGGGTAACCTCCTCTGGAACGCCGGCCGAACAACCTCCCACTACATCGAAGAACGTGCGCACGAGCTCATCGCCGGCAAAGATGTGCTCGAGATCGGCGCTGCTGCTGGCGTCCCTAGCATTACTGCCGCGGTCATGGGCGCCCGCACTTCCGTGATGACCGACTATCCGGATCCCGATCTCGTCGGCAACATGCGCTATAATGCGGAGATCTCCGCGCCGTTGATCCCCAAGAACTCATCCCTGCATGTCGATGGATACAAGTGGGGGGACCCGGTGGAACCGTTGTTGGCGTACCTGCCGGATGGGTCGACGGGTTTCGATGCCCTGATCATGGCAGATGTGGTGTACAGCTGGCGGGAACATGGCAATTTGATCAAGACGATGCAAATGGCGCTGAAGAAGTCTCCCGATTCCGTCGCCTTGGTGATCTTCACCCCGTATCAACCGTGGCTTCTGCCCAGGACGGAGACGTTCTTTCCGTTGGCGGAGCAGAATGGGTTCCGTGTGACGAAGATCTTTGAGAAGCTTATGGATGCAGTCCTGTTTGAGAATGATCCTGGTGTAAGTGCATTTCTCGTGTGGGTTAGGTAGAAAGCTTTTGCTGACTTTGTTGCAGGATGAGAAGCTTAGGAGGACCGTTTTTGGATACGAGATTAGATGGGCCGACGATCAGCTCAAATAGACGATGCATAGACTATATACTATGGCGTTGGTTGGGGAAAATAGCATTGGAAGGTTTCATAATGCATGAAGTGACGAATCACGAAAATGGTGCAGATGACCGACTTATTTGGAGTATAATAAGTCGTTGGCGTACAAGAATAAAAGTCTTGATTATCTTATACTCTATACATATTCATATCTTCTATAGACCCGGATTACTCCCCTTCACGAGTGTTGGATGGGGTCAGGCCTCTGCTTTATTATTTCTCTTAAAGGGTACTTTGCCAACTTCTTTTGCCCTTGCAAGTTTGCTGATCTTGAAGAACTTTCGTGATGATTTCAAGAAATTTGTGGCTCTTGCACGTTGATGTTACTAACGCCCTTGAAATCCTCGAAGAACCTTAGATAGATTCCCCTTATGGCCCCTCTCAGGAGTCGGACAAGTGGGCCGAATCCACCCACCAAAAATCCCTTCTGGCGCTTGAATCGAACCTTCGGGCCCTCTCTGCTGCTAACAAGGTCATCCGGGTGGAGTTCGGAGGCGATTTGTTGCCTGTAAGTGTGCCTGAGATCCTGGAGGACCCGGGTCGCCTGAACATCGTCGCGGTGATCATGGTGGCAGAGTCGGCGACCGCGGCTATCGGAATGGAAACAAAGCTACTCAGGATCTCTCCCAGTTATACAAGCATACCCTACTACTGTGCGGGGCCAACAACAACTCTCAGAGCGAACAGGAATCGCGTGGAGCGTGAGACGCGATGTGCAGGATGTTACGACCTCCGGAGCAAGATTAACTCTCGTGCTTCCCAGAGTCAACGCGAGCACTGCCTCTTCGCAGGAATTAACACGGAAGCTGCTGGAGCATTGTGGCCTGGGACCTGTTTAGTTGTTGCTCAGGTCAATGGACTGCGTGATCGTCGAGATCTGAAGATGACTTTTCCAAGCGGATAAAAGCCTAAGATACAGTGACCGGGCCATCCGTAACACAGCTTTGTTGGACTACATGGACTCTGTACATATCGAAAATTTGACAGCTTCCTCAAGAGGTTCATGGTCATTGAATTCCACACAAGTGTTTCGTAGTAGAGTACCTGAAGTTTCGAAATTGAAGGGACACGGTCCCAAGACTTGTTCCCAAACGAGAACCCCGACTTACCTCGTGGCCAGCAAGAAGGTCGACAAAGCATCAACTGCGGTAAACTTCGCTCTCATTAAATGATTCGCATAAATGACGACATTTACTCTGGCTTGATGCAACTCCTGGTCTGTAATAGAGCCGTAGCTGGTTGGTACCACAACCAGGGGGGTGTCCGCATCTTGGGATCGGAAGTGATTCAGAAATGACAAGACCTCGAGCGGGCTTTTCGCTTTGCTGGGATTATAATAGACTCCGCTCCGCGGCTCTTGTAGAGTTCCGCACGCGCCAACACATCTTCGAGGGCCAGCTGGACCGACGTTAATTCTTTGGCTTCGTTCTCCTCCGGCGTGCGGGTGGTGAAGCTCTCGATCCATGCCGTAATCATGATCTCACTGTCTCTAGTCGCGGCTCTGAATGCTTGAAGGGTCCTGACAAACTCGTACATATTAGCCTGGGCCTGGGATTGGGAGGCACCAGCAAGAGACTTGACCTTCTGACCCGGCGAAGCCAAGCTCTTGTCTTCAATTATCACCATTGAGATGCCCAGAGACAGCAGACACGACATTAATTGCGGAATCTCCTCGACATTGCTACCAATATCTGCATCGAACGCAGCGCAGAGCGGACGGCGCCCATCTTGCTCAATATTGTTGTTCGAGCCCGACATGTGCATTGCACGCTGAAGGTTGGGGGTGGATATCAACTCTGTATCTGGGACCCCCCAAATACGTGGACTGGGTCAGGCCACTCAGCCAAATACCATCCAAATATTCGCCATTTTCATTGAATGTCCCGCGGATTGTCTCCTTGGTGGCATGGTCATGAGCCCCAGTAGCCGAACTCGCCCTGGTTTTTCTTCTATACGGACTTGATGGAAGGAGGCATTGTACGAACTCGGGTGACGGTCAATGTGCCAAAGGCTCCAGTACCACGGAATCCGATATCTCTCTGCTGCCTTTGAGTATCTCAAGCGCCCTCTCATAGATCCAGGTAGGCAACTACGCTGCGTGCATATAAACCGAAGGATCCTATCCTTGCAAGGAGACTTGCCGTATGTGGTCCGGTTTCGACAAAGGAAATTTCATGCTTGATGTCGAAGTGGGTCTCGTTTCTATTCCTGTTCGTTTTGGTACTTGTGCTTTCCAATAACAAAATATAGAGCTAGTCTGGAACTCTGTCTAAATTGATGTTTATAATGTGGGTATTGTTGGTTGCTCTGCCCTGCATTAGTACCAAGGGTGAGAGCATACATATGACATATGACAGATAGTGCTCCCAGGCCAATGCCCATCATCCCGCCCCATGCAGTACGCTACAAGTCCATTTATTCTATTTTGGGGAGGTATGATCCAGGTTCACTCATACACCACCAACCATAGGCCAGATATGCAAGGTGATATATGGAAATCTGTATGTTACTTGCCGCGGAACGGGCGGCACGGGCGGACCAGTGGCACAGCGGGTGATCGGCACTGCAAGCCCATTTGTTCTGCTCCGGGGTGGTATAATCCAGGTCCATTTATACACCACCAACCATGCTTGTTTCCTAGCTCATTATCTACCCAGTAGGATAAAGGATATCAGGGGAACTTTAGAACCTAGGAAAAGAAGACTGCAGCTAAATCCTTACTTAGTACTCTTAGTAAGTTGGTAGCCTTTGCTAGCTCACTTATACTTATCTAGATATAGTTTAGTAGAGTTACAATCTCACTCTAAGGGTTTTCTGAGACAAAGAAATGAATCTACGGTAAAGTAATCTTAGTTAACTCCCTGTTCTCTAGTTTAATAGAGGATGAGGTATATATTATTATACAAGTATATATATATTACTTGTATTTTATTTATGAAGTCTTAAATTTTTACAGTCACTGTAAACCGATATCCAGACTTATATACCAGGTATTATTAAAATTTGTTTATAATTCTTAAGCATGTGACCCAATGATATCATACTATAGTACCATTGCGTATTAGGAGTTGATAATTTAGGAGTAAACTATGGAGTTTGAAATGCCACACCACCCGAGTAGATCGCTTGTCAGATACCGCAGAGATGTCGTCTACCAGGAAAATACCAGTCCTTGATCTGAAACTCAACGCGAGGACTGCTTCTTGATCAGTTGCATGATGCATTAGTCAACATCGGTTTTCTGTATATTTCCAACCATGGAGTCTCGGAAGAGACGGCAGCCGGAGTTCCGTCGACCCAATTCCAAACACTCTCGTTGTCAACTTAGGCTACGCCTTTGAAGCGGCCTCCAAGGGTGCAGCCAAAGCCACAGTTCATCGAGTAAGGGCACCTTCACAGAAAGATCGATACTCGATCCCTTTTTTCATGGGGTTGCCACTCGAACTTAAGCTCTCAGAGGTAAGGAGTTTTATCCCAGAGAGTGTGAGGGCGATGAGACGCAAAGAACTGGAGAATGGTGAATGGACCATAGACCAGAAGATCGAAACATTTTTGGACCCGAGATGGGACAGTATCGGTGAATCCGTACTGAGAAGATTCATTAGAGGATACAAGGAAACCGCTCTAAAATTCTATGGGCCGGAGGTGTACCAGTACTATACTCAGTGAACTCGTGTGGGGAAGTTGGCTTATGCTTTCATTGCAACTCTAGATAGTGATGAATGGACGAACTCGATGCGAAGTTGAATCCCTACTGAACCAGCGTTCATTCAATCTCGTACGTGAAACTCCTTCGTACTTTCTGTCCCAGCCTGAGACAGTCCTCTCTGCTCCTTCTACTGGCCACGGAAAAATATGCTAGGTAGCTGAATACTTTGGCCTTGGGTCCGAGTAATTTATCCCCCTTTTTCTTCATCGTCTTGTAGTCTACAACTCCCAATCGTAGATCTTCATGCCGCTCCAACATCTCCTTGCCGGCGTCAGGACTTTTCATCACACCACTTTTGTCCTCCGGAATGATGATGACCTGAAGCCACCATTGTGGGCCATGGCAGAAAGGTACGCTCAGCGCACGACACCGATCAAAGTCACCGAGAGCGGCCAGTATATGATTGGCGTAGTAGTCCACACCGTAGGTCAACAGCGTAGCACTACTCACAAAATAACCACCCGGTCGAGCATTGACCTCATGCAGGTAGAAGGAGGGTTCCTCGTTGCCTTGTAATCGATCGCTGGGATACAAGTCAACAATGCCATCACGCGTATCGTACGCTTTGGATGCATAGCGAATTCGCCCCTCGCAGTGAAAGACGCCGGTGCGGAAGCCTTGTCGCAAGAGGGTTTGATGAATTGAATCCTTGGTAGCTTGAATTTCTTTTGGGGAAAGTCCTGTCGGGAGAACCATATCTGTCTCCATGAAGGAACCGTTCAATGCATTCCCAGCTTTTTCGCCAGCTTTGGGGAAGTCATCTGCAACCTCAAAGAAGATGATATCCCCTTCGATCAGAACAAAATTAGCATCAACTTCGGGCCCCTCGATATACGGCTCAATCATCACATCCGACCGCGGGTTTGGCCCTTCACTGTGTCGACTTGAAGCCCGCGTGACTGCTTGAATGAGTTCTTCTTCGGTCTGCACTTTCGAAACACACTCACTACCCCACCCCATACAGGGTTTCACGATTACAGGGTATTTAATGGGCGAATTCGTCTTGGACCGCAGTCGTGTGCTTAGCTCGTCGACATTGAAGATCTTGAATGCTCCTCCGTTATCGGGCTCCATCTCTCGCGTCTTGAACTTGTCTCCAGCAATGATGTATGACTCGGGTGGCGCAGACCGGAACCCCAATATTTGACAAGCTCGGGCAGTGCCAATTGCTCCAGCGTTGTTGACCGTCACAAGCGCGTGGATAGGTTTGTCGTAACTACGCACCGCGGCCACGATGCGGTCTACAAAGCCCTGGTCAGCGGTGATATCGGTTGGAATAAAGGCTTCTCGTAAAAAGTTCCAGCGGTCATCGTCCTTCTGAAACCAGTGGCCGTCATGGTCCAGAATCACCACCTTGATGCCCAATGATCGAGCGGCTTCCCATATGCGCCTCCCGCTCTCCAGGTCCTCCTTGCCTTTGATCCATGCGATGCGTTTCTCTTCAATTGGCTCAGGCGAGATCCATGCGAATGATAACCTGTTCGCTAACTCAGCCTCCAGACTGGCTAGGTGCTGTTCACCCTGGACTTGAACGGCTCCAACAGCATGGGGTAGAAGATCAAGTAGGTTCAATGGAGATTTACTATCCAGGAGTCGGAAATCAGGAGCTTTAATCTCTTCTCTTGGCGTCAAAAAACTTTCGACACTCAGCGCATGCTCATAACCTTCCAGACGCCGCTCGAGGAAGTCGGACCTGACCGTGAAGCCAGACTTTACGGGTAGGATGAACTTGATAGCAAGAACGGAAGATGCCGGCAGCGGCTGATGGAGAAGACGGATGAGAAAGTTGGACGCACGATCGTCCGACCTTAATTGCAGGGCATTAAATGCGCTTGACGTAGGTAGCAGCGCGGTGTTATTACCAATCGACAAGAGATCTAGTGTCACATCTAGAGTTCTATGCAGAGATTCTCCAGGTGAAACAATATTGAGTTGCCACAACCCGTCGACGTAGACTACCAACAACGTCAGTGTTCAGTGTGAGGCAAAAGTGCAGCGAGGCTGAATACCATCCTTCCCTTCTATCTTGTATTGGAACTTACTTGCCTCCGCACCAGGCATGACGAATCGTAGAGAGATGCTGATTCAAATTTGATGAAGATGGTACGTGTGAGCAAGAGGGGTACGGTGTTCTCGTTCAGGCAACCCCGGGGGCAAGCGACGGCACTTTAACTGTTTAACCGGTACTCCATAGAGTCTACTAGTCACATGTTGGACACTGTGCATAGATCAATCCGTCTTTGCATACGAAGGCCCAATCTACCGGCTTAACATTACATATCAGTCAACTGAACTAGTTAGATCACACGCCTTCTCAATGGTGTTTCGCAAACTTCATAGTTTGCTCTTATTTTTCTCAACTTATACACAGTGGTACTATAGTATACCATTATTGGGCTATATAGTGGAGGGTTATAAATATATTTTGACAATACTTAGTGTATAAATTTGTATACCAAATTTACAGTATCTGTAGAGATTGTAAATTTCAAAAATAAGATATAATAATATACATCTTATTTTCTACTGAGCTAGAGGACAGGGAGTCAACTTGGGTTAAATAGTGGGGTTGCTTTTTACCCCAGATAGAGAGTGGCATATGGCTAGGTTGGGTTATACCTTCCTGGAACAGAACAAACAGGGTTGCAGCACACAGTGCATACTTTTTTCCATTCCCGCCCGTTCCGCGGCAAGTAATAAATACAAATTTCCATATATCACACCTTATGTATTTGGCCTATAGTTGGTGGTGTAAGTGGACCTGGATTATGCCTTCCCACAACGGAACGAATGGCCACACAAGCAACCCAGCCACCAGTGTAATCCATACGAAACAGTCATTTCGTATATCTTGATATCTCAATGAAGTAATTTGTAAACTATCGTCTGGAATCACATATAATATGCAATGGGCTCAATAATAATATAATTAAAAATTAAGAGGAAACATTCAACATTAAAAATACCAACAATTGCACTGTACTTTTGGCAATGTACATAAATTAATGTAATTTTAAGATCAACTCATTAATTTAAAAATTTATTTAAAAGTATATTTCTTATACTATATAAATAATGTAGTAAACATGTGATTTTCGGTTATTCCATACAAACTCCAGGGTACATAACCCCTGGCTATAAGCAGTAAATCTATAAAAATACAGTGGAAGATGTTAGTAGCTTACAACATTTACGCGGGCTACTAGCGTCAGACAGGAACAAAAGCAGCAACCTACCTCACCGCATTAGATTTATCATCTCTAGTACGGAGTTGATCGGCGGTAAAGCTTTGTGGCTAACGATGGTGTAAAGTTTGATGTTCCCACATATCCGATTTGTTGTCAGCTCCCCTTCTCGCTCGTGTGATATATAGGTAATCATGCGAATGCCCATTGTTAGTAACCGTTCACCTGTCTTCACCATTTCCTAATGCGATGGCGAGGATTGTTGAAGCTGAAAGCGATCCTGCCGGCATTGCTGACGAATCTCTCTCGCCTCGAGATGCTACAGATGAAGAGATTGGGTCTCTGAGGCATGTCGTTGACAAGCTACCCAGAAAGGTCTGGGTCTCCTTGCTGGTAAGTGGAGCAGAGCGCTTCACATACTACACAATCACAACTCCGTGGCGTAAGTATAACGGCGATATGACAGGGCATGATATGATATACTGCTAAGACACAATGGCAGAGAACTACATACAGAATGCTCCGGGTGATGGTGCCGTGCCAGGCGCTCTTGGGCTTGGGCAGTCTCGGGCGACCATGATCTTCAACGCCTTCTACTTATTCTATTACTTGGTGCCTATCCCCATCGGCCTTGTCTCGGACGCTTGGCTAGGGCGATACGCGGTTCTCTGTATCAGCCTGAGGTGCGTGGTGGCGTGTCACGGCACCTGGAACTGATCAGCTTGCTAACACAATCTAGCTTGTATTTCTGTGGCACGCTCGTACAGTTTATAACGTCTCTACCCTCACTTTTCCACTATGAACCAGGCCTGGCGGGTCTTATCCTCTCTATGATATTAATAGGTCTCGGTGTTGGAGGAACAAAGGCAGCAATCACGCCCTTTATCGGTAGTTTTACCCTGTTAAGCACCCTATCCTTTAATAAATCTAATAATGGCATTAGGAGATCAATACCCGGTCAAGCCTCCACAAGTCAAGACCCTGGCAACCGGAGAACGCGTGATCATAGATCGAACTTTGACCTTGCAGTATGTGTACAACGTCTACTACTGGTTAGCACCTCCAAGAATCAATGGGTGGCACAAACTAACCCATAGCAGGATCACTAATATCGCCGCACTTTCTATCCTGGCATCGACTTATCTCGAGAAGGAACGTGGTTTCTGGGCGGCCAATGTTCTTGCATTGTGCTCATCCTGGATTGGGGTTGCCTTGCTTGCTATCTTTGGCAAGGAACTCGGTACGTCCCCACATACCAACATTAGGGTGTGGCTGATTAGTTGTAGAACGGTATCCAGCTCAAGGTGGTGTTTTGTTAAAAGCTGGAAAGGTGTTGGCATATGCTATCCACGATAAGTTCAAGATCGATGCCGCGCGACCACGCTACCAATTAGAAAAGCACAATCGGGCAGTCCCATGGACGGATCGTTTCGTCACGGAGATTCAAAGTGGCCTTCGTGCATGTCAAGTTATGTGGGGTTTTTCCCCCTGGAATTCTCCCTTTGGGGATACGGGTCACGAGAGTTTACTGACCGTGTGACGGACAGGACCTGGTTCGTGTTGTTCCATCTTGGCATCAACCAGATGACCAACAACCTCGTTTCGCAAGCAGGCGAAATGCAACTCTCCGGCTTTCCCAACGACGGGATTCAGGTTCTAAACCCAATCGCCTGCGTTTTACTCGGCCCAGTCATCCAGAAACTACTCTACCCAACCCTTGCGAGATACCAGATCCCCTTTGGTCCCCTCATGCGCATGACTATGGCCTTCTTTACAATGGCAGCGACGTTCGCCTACGCTGCTGGAGTGCAGAAGATGATTTACAATTCTGGTCCCTGCTACAAGGCTCCATTGGTTTGTCCGGCGGCGCAAAGAGTCGGACAGCCCGCCTTGCCCAATAACATCAAGGTCTGGGTGCAGACGCCTATATATGTGATTTTAGCGGTGTCTGAAATATTCGGCTTCGTCACCCTCAGTGAGTATAGCTACAGTAAGGCACCTAAGGATATGCGCACTGTAGCCCAGTCAATGAGGCAGCTGAGTGCTGGCATTGGAAGCGCTATCGGTATAGCTCTCGGTCCAGTTTCACGTGATCCAAAGGTATTGTGGATGGACGTCGGACTGGCAGTAAGTCTGGGGCTTTCAGGGCTACTGTTTTGGGCGGTTATGGGTCGCCTTGAAAAAGATAATGAAGATTTGGACACGATGTTACTGAACGATGACCGGGGTAGGGCGGCACACACTGGGGGTGAGGCCATTTCAGGAACTAAAAACTGAATACTTTATCCGATTGATATCCGGCTGTATATACATCCACGTTTAGTAAACCAGATTGCAAAAGAGGCTACGATAGAGGCTGTGATGTGGGAGATGCGGGTGAGGAAAGATTGGTATTATAGAGTACTGGGAATCGCCGGTGAGCCAGTCAGATTTGCGGAGCTCGAGACATTGACTCTGTCTTGTATTGTCCCTCTCGGGAGCAGTACCCTCGACAAGAAGTCGTATAGATTCTCCATGGTTCTATTTAGTAGTACTCAGCAACAGTCAGTTGGAAACTTTGGGGGCGGGGGGCACATACAGTATACCTAGGAACTAGTATTTCTAATTTATATAGAAGACATCATTTTCTCTTTCTCTGCTGCACCTACAAATCCGCGTGATACCCTTCTTCAGAAGCATTCGCTTCCTCTGTATTAAGTACAGTTTGACAATCTCTTGATAGCCTTCGAACGAGACGCCCTGGAGAGCATTTACCGTATTCCCCGCCTTGCGCGTCGATGTCTTCTCCCTTGGTAATAAGTACTCTTGCAGCAGCCAAGAGCCTATTGAGGCAAGCATAGTAGAGCTTGGAAGCTCGCGGCGGGCCAGGATCATCGGCCCAACTCCTATCAGCCTGATACAAACGACTCCATCGTTGGAATGTCACTTCCTCCTCAATGAACTTGACAGTCTTCTGAACGATATCTTCCGAATCCTGAGCTAACGCAGCATAGCCTGTCCAGAGCTCAGCCGCATATCTTGCCATCGGAAAATGCTCCTTAGCCTCTTCGTGGCTACCTCTGATGTCTGTAAGATAAATCAAGCACGTCCTCGTAATAGAAATGCTGGCAGTCATGATATGGTACACATTTGTCCATCCTTGCACGACCCAAGCTACGTGGAGTGTCTTCTCGATGCTGGAGAAAGACAATCCAATCTGCTCGTGTACATCCTCGGGCACGCTCCCATCCTTCCGGAAGCCACACTGACCCGAAGTCACGACCAAAGAGGCATTTGGGGGCAGGACGATGGCTTGGCTGAATTTCAGATCGTCGCTAAGTTTTGAGAGGAGACCTGGAGGGTTGAATGCTTGGATGCGGTTGGAGGCAAAATTGTAAAAGACTTTGGTGAGTCCATTAAAATGTAGATGGCGCTTAGATTGATATATAGTAGATTTTGTGTTTAGATTCGCACGGGGCCTGATATGTGTCATATTGTTTCACCGACCTACTAATGAAGCATTATAACCCCGAAGCCCTTGAATTTCTCGGCAATATTGACGCGTTGCCTAATCAGCAAGACATCGAAGATTCAAAGCTCCATTTTCACATGTGACAGGACTAAATATTGTACTATCTCACCGCTATTGCTAACTCGAGCTGTTCACAGCCGAGATATTATACAGGAATATAGAAGCGCAGAAAACGTATATGTTGCCATTTCATGGGTATGCGGCCACTAGTTTCTGTTATCTAGAATATTCATTTTTGCTCGGGCAGTAGCTCCATGTTGAAGCATCTCAACGAGGCCGCTCATTGTTGTCGAATAGAAAGAAGACCGACTTGATTAGGAGGACAACCTCACGGTCTCATTGCAGATATCATTAGTCTGAAGCTGTAATAGATGCCAGCTTGTAAAGGAACAAGTGCATTGAACTAACGATATTAAACTTAAAGAACAAGGGGAGTGAGAGAGTCATGTGATGAAGCTAGCCGGATGGGGATGCATGATGTTAACAAGTGCTCGTTACAGAAGCGACATCACAGTTCTCCCAAGTCAGACTTCTGCCATAAATTTTTCATTTTCTCAGAAGTCGAGACATATTTGTTCCTTGCCGGGAATAACTGTTGCGGGTCCCATTTCTTACCAACATCCATGAAGCGTGTTAGAGCGGTGTTGGATAATGGTGTGGACTGTGAGGGTGCTGCTGTCAGTTTTTTGAATCTAGGTAATGGTGCCATGAGTCGGGGGAAATCTGTTTTGAATAGCTTACATTTCCTTCATCATTAGTCACATCGTAGTCTGCGGGAAACATCCCGGACGAGAACGGCAACAACTTCTTGTATCGAGATCGCCAGTGCTCTTTCATTAAGGGTGTCAGATTTGGGTCAGCCCAACCCGCGAATGAGCAAAGGTACAGCTGAATTGGCACGCTATATGCGCAAGCTTCCTCGTTTGGTTCCCAGTTAGGGATGACGACAAGGGAAACCGATCTTAGCGTGGGGATATCCGTTTGGATTGGTTCGGTAGCATCAAGTAACTTGATAATCAGTAAGATGGAACACTCCCTGGAGATCTAGAGGACCTACTTTATCTAAATCCACCGATTCGTCCGTGCAAAGGCTCTGAAACCTCCAATACTCACTATTGTCGCTAGACCACAGCATGTCCTGTTCGGCCCACATATCCTCCAAGGCCAATTCTTTAAAGGATGACTCCAGTACGGACGAGCTTAGCTCAGTTGGAATGTCTTCATAAGCAGCTAGCATTCCCTTCGCTTCGCTCTCGGTATCAGCGAGGGCAATATTTGTGATGATGAAGGTGAGTTTCGCCTCAGCGGGAGGCTTGTCTGGAAGACTCTTCGCAGCTGCCTTTTCGGGATAGAAGATGCCAGCGTTGAGTTCGGTTACCTTTTTCGGCGTCTTCTTCGACTGCTCAATAAACCATTTCATGAGAGGTTTGTAGTTGTTCCCTAAGTCGAAAGCAGTATGCTGGCCCCACCATTTTGTTCGAGGAGTGGTTTTTCCCCAAAATTTCGTGATGACACCGAAGAAGGCAGGACCGCATCCTCTTGCAGCCCAGAATAAATCGGAATTTTCCTTCTCGCTTGCAATCACAACGCGACCGTCAGCCACAACGATTTCCAGTTGGGTTAACCAGTCGCGATAAGTTGGGCCTGTGCCTCGCATGCCTACGCCCTGCCCACCACCGAGGTGGAAGCCACCAGCTGCGACAGTAGGACAGTGGCCATGAGGGTAGAAACGATTGATTTCGCGCAGCTTTTCAGCAATTTCCTGAACCCGCACCGAAGGGCCGAAAGTGATATCATGAGTGCCTGAATCGTATTCCACGTTTCGGTTGAGGTGAGTGGTATCGATGAGAATGCCCGTGAAGAGGGCTCCGTTAGACAGTGTATGGCCGCCTGATCGAATACCAATATCTTTCTTCAACTCATTCGCCCGCCGCACTGCAAACACAACGTCTTCAACATCATGAACCACGTGAATTTCTGCAGGATATTTATCAGGAGCATCTCCACTAGGATTGTTGCGTCTGCATGTCTCGTAGTCCGGGGTACCGGGATAGAGAATCTTCTCTTTGTATTGTCGGTTACACTCGTAGACAGGCATAGTGAAAAGTCAAGAGCCAATCTGTAATTACTTGGCGAGGTAGGTCAAACTTGAAGGTAGGTTGGATAAAACAATTAACGCGAAGAGATAGTTCATATATATAGGCCACTCTCCTCTACATTTGATGGACTATAGTGGCCTGCATGACAATCTATCTTATCAAAGCGCCTTAAGAGATGGTGAGATCATCATGAGATCATCTTCCTTATCTACGCGCACTGATAACGTGAAGAGGAACTGCCATCGGTGCCCTCGGGCTCCCTGTGGATTATGATGAACTAAGCTCAGTGTGACAAGAAAAATGGGGACAGAAACGCTGGAATATCTCTATCTCCAGGCAGACTGCCTCCTAGGAATGCAGCCGATCCGTGGGTCAGATAACTAGACTAGCTATATGCGGCCTAGCGCGCAGCCGGAACAACCGGACGATCACCGAAACTGTAAGCATTGGAGCGGACCTCTCGGCATCCAATGCATCGGTGTAGACCCACATCCAGCGCCGGCGCCCGAGGACTCCGTCTTAGTTGTCGATCCCGTTCAGGTGGGGGACAGGTAACGTAAAATCTAATACCTCACGTATGTATTGATCTTGTTGGATACATTTTATTTCCATTCTAGCCCCCACGGGGTGATCTAGTCTAGCTGAATTGAGCCGGGTAGGTTTCATCATGGCCCTTGGCGTTAGGGTCTGGGAGAGGTTTTTGCGTAGAACATGATAGCCAATTTCGAATTTTTCTGTAATACCGCTGAGTGTGGAAATAATTGAAAGCCAGGGAGATACTGTAAGACACATTTGGCCAGTTCAGGTAAACTACGATTGCCACGTCGATCTTCTGGACCTAAGCTAAAAGAGGGGTAACGTACGTCCTCAGCCTCATCATCATCGGCCGTTCCGCCCACCACACCGCTTCCTGAATGGCTTTCTGTCGATCATGTTTCCATGTGGTGGGGCTTGTGCCTGTTCCTAAGAACGGTTCGACCCGATCCAGAATAGTCAGATCCAGCATGTCTCGCTATAACCAGCCAAATTTGTTCTAGATAAAACCACTTTAACCTCAGCACCAGAAGAGCCTCTTCTCGGCAACTTTTGCACATATCTAGAGAACAAACAGGTTACAGTTTGTCATTGAAACTGATTGATCGAGTTATAATGCGCCGGTCTTTCAATCACCTTTTTTTGAGGGCCGCAGCTTTGAGAGGGGCCGCAAAGCTCCCAGGAACCCCAACATGGCCGCATCACGTGCATTTCCTAGTATCTAGCATCCCCCCAGCCTTCTCAGCCAAAATGTTTTCACCTGCTCTCTGAGTAGAGGGGTGACCAATGTGAGCAAATGAATTGGGTTTCCTTCACATTTGCTGGCTTCCCGCCCGTCTCTTCCACCAAATCCCACCTCCCTCGATATTCTGATCCTTGTACCGTCTTTCTATGTACAACATGGCACCAAGACTGCCCCTCTCAAAGCTTGAGATGATCCAAGATATGATATTGAGCGAATCACTAACCGCCTCACAAATGGCCAAAGCTGCTGAATGCAGCAAGCGATCCGTCATTAACATCAGCAACAACCTTCGCCGGTTTGGAAATGTCAGAGCACCCTCAACTCAGGTCGGTCGACAACGAAGCGTAACTCCTCCGATGCTACAGGCATTGTGCGATCATTTACTGGAAAAGCCAGGGCTATATGTGGATGAGATGACAATCGTTTTATGGGACGAATTCCGTGTCCAGATGACAAATTCCAGTATCAAGCGAGCTCTCGCTTTGGTCTGTTAGTCAAAGAAGGTGGCTCGACAGAGAGCAAAGGAGCAGAGTCCCGACTTGAGAGACTTCTACCTACATAATCTATCGGATTTTCAGTCGTATCACTTCGTCTATGTGGATGAATCTGGATGTGATAAGCGAATTGGGTTCAGACAGACAGGCTGGTCTCCGTCAGGCGTAGCACCATTGCAGATAGCCAACTTCCATCGTGATCAGCGCTACCAGATACTGCCTGCATATTCTCAGGATGGAATCGTGATCTCTCGGGTATTTCAAGGCTCCACTGATGCTGCTCTATTCGAAGATTTTATTGACCAGCTGCTAAGGCATTGTGGAAGGTGGCCTGAGCCAAAATCCGTCCTAATTATGGATAATGCATCCTTCCATCACTCTGATCGTATAACAGAGATGTGCGCCAATGCAGGAGTAAAGCTAGTATACCTACCACCTTACTCCCCTGACTTGAATCCTATAGAGGAGTTCTTCTCAGAGTTAAAAGCATTTATTAGACGGAACTGGGTACGGTATGAAGAAGACCCAGAACAAAGGTTTCCGGCTTTTCTCGAATGGTGTATCGAAGTTGTTGGATCACGAAAGCAAAGCGCTTTGGGCCATTTTAGACATGCTGGTGTGGATATTGAAGATAATTCATCGTTAGATCTAAAACAGCTTGGCGTTAAATATATATTATGAGCTTACCAAACTTACCTTATACCCTCATCATTGTACATTACGCCTCATTCTAGGCTTTACTAAAGAAGTTTCGTAAGGGGTAGATTGAACTTATGACGCACAGATAATTCAATAATAAATCTAAAATCTAAATGAGCGCCTTTGTACTCCCTCAGAGAGTTTCCTGCGCCTGTTCCTCTATCGATGAAACTTTTTTCACACTCCGAATCTATTTGGCGATATCTCTTACAAACTGGCGGGCAATACCTACCACGATCCCTTTATCGATAAAAAAAGATGGGTTTTGGTCCTTATATATCAATTGAAGATCTAGACTATTTGTCAGAGCGACATCGCGCTCTCCTCGAAATTGGGCTTTTAAATAGTCATCACCGACATTTGTTTTATGCCAAGCGGTGTACTCTCGAACTGCCTCATCTCGAAATCCAGGAATGTTGAAGTCGTCACTGGATAGGCTATTTGTTAATGGAAGCATTGCTGGGGTTGCGACTGAATTGAGCGCCTCTGGTTGAGGGGAAGGTTGTACCCTATTGAAGTTAAAATTTATGGGATAACTCCCCGGTGTGTCAGTGATCTTAGTATTCTTGGATTGTTGACTCTCCAGTCTGTGCCGCTCTTCTATATATAAGTCTTCACGAATATTGTCTGGGATATTGTTATGGGTCTGTATGGGTCTGTATGGTGCTCTCTTTCTCTACAAAGGCAATGATATGTTTTAAATGATGAGTTCTCAGGACATAGTGCTTTTTTTTATGTGGGTCTTGCCAGCAATATCGGCCTAGATGGTATGATGAAGAAGGACAACGCATTAGGTTGTAAATACTCCGCCAGACAGACTCTTCCCCAGAGGCGTTTTCTTCGGCATCCAGTTGGGTATCTCGCTCGTTGAGTATCCTTTTAGTAATAGATGACCGCCCTCTTTTCTCAACCCTACCCGAGGTGGTTCTGGGAAGGCGGTCATCCTCAATGTATTTAAAGGTAATACTTAGCCTCAGTTTCTTGCCTCGACAAAAGAGTTCTCCACATCTAAGCAGCTGTTTTTCCACAGCGGTCCAATCAATGTTGAGATTCTCAAATCGCTTTTTCAGGTCGCGTTGGGAATGATCGTTTATCGACACAATAATCGAGGTATTATCCGACCTTACTCTCCCGGCAAGGGAGATTTTCTCTTCTAGTAACTTCTCCAACTTGGGCCTCAAGTTCACCGGCCAGTAGGCACTTGGAGTAAGCGCTACGTCCTCTTCTGTGTCTTGTGAGATGATCTTCTTATTCAGTATAACCTTCCACTCTATCATATACGGGATGCAGCTTGCCGGAAGCTCATCATTTTGTAGTTCCTCGTCCCACTCGGAGAGCTGGAGTAGTTTGGGTTTTCCTGCGTCGACTTGGCATGCCTCTGCGAGACTGTTCTGGGTGGAATACCCGGGGGAAGGACTAAGCCCGCATCGTGGCTCCGGCGTGCAACTGAAGTATCCTGGAGTGGGGGCATATTGCGAATCCTGGTCCGACGCTTCTAGCTTGTAGGCGGATCGAAGATTATTACCGTTGTAATACGAGTCAACAGTCATCGTCGCTGTTCTAACGGTCCTACCGATTCTAATGTCAGCATGATTTAGGACACGCAGCCTGGCGGGTACAGGCTCTAATCAGAATGCCAGGATTGTTACACATCGTATACGAAAGCGTATTCCAAACCAATGTTGTCTCTATAAACGTCGTTCTTTCACAGTGTTCAGTCCTACGGATGCCAAGTAGTTGACAGAGGGGAGAAGTCGAATTCAGGCCAGATAACCACACTGACAAGGAGAACTAACTTTTGCCTTGTTTGCATGAGCAATGTTCTAGAAGCCCTCGAGACTATACCAGAGTATTACGGATGCTATTTTTACGCTGTTATTTACAGACGTATGGGAATACTGCCAAGAAAGGGGTTCGAGGTTCGGCTAACCTTAATAGGCATAGCGCAGTTTCAAAAGAGACGTTGAGAAAGAATCTCTGTGTGAAGGTGGTGAATCTGATTTCGATCCATGCTGTATATATATCTGTATATATCTATTTAGATTAGTATGTATGTATATTATATTATATATATTTAAAATTTATGTAGCGTTAGCCTAACCCTAATATAGACTTTTGTTTTGTCCAGAGAGGCAGAGTTTGCTGAGATAAGAGGGTCGTTGCGGCTAGATATACCATCGCTTATCTAACCGCTCAATCTTCGATTGAACCCGTTCGCTTCCCACCTATGCCAACGGGACTTCTTCCCATTCCTACTGAGATCGATATACTATCTAATCGCAAGCATAGGTGGGGTTGCTTTCGCTTTCGGTGACTGCCTTTGATGGGGCATGGCTCGGTTCAACCCTTAATTGGGTGTAAAAGTTGGCTAAGCTGAGAAGCAACCAAAGTATTACGACCCGACGCAGACTAATAGAAATTGAACAGTATCTCCATCCACTATACTGCCAGATATATAAATATTTTGATTCGTTGATTATGAGTAGGCGCTCTCAAAATGGCTTTGGTACCTATTTTCTCTAGTGGATCATTTTGCCGTCCTGTATGAATTTCCGTACTAATATAGATTGCTAATAGAAGAAGAAAAAGAAAAAAA